GCTGGGGGGGGCAGGAAGGGGGGGTCGTGGGGGTAATGGGGGAAATGGGGGCTGGGGGGTAATGGGGGGCTGATGGCCGTGGTCGTGGTCAGTGGATCTATAGGGCAGGATGTCCCGCTATGGGGAAGCGCTATGGGGCAGGAAGTCCCACTATGGGGCAGGCTATGGGGCAGGATCTATGGGGCTGACCCACATCTCCCACAGCTGTACCTGGCCATCGCGCTGATGGCGGTGGTGGTGGTGACCGGCTGCTTCGGTTACTACCAGGAGTTCAAGAGCACCAACATCATCGCCAGCTTCAAGGGGCTCGTGCCGCAGGTGGGCCGCTAATTAGCGCCTCATTAGCTGCTCCGCCGCACTAATTAGCTCGTTAGAGACCCTGATTAGCTCGTTAGCGCCTAAGTCCCTTTTGGGGTCCTTTTTGGGGTCCCTTTTAGGGTCCTTTCGGGGTCCCTTTCGGGTCCCTTTTGGGATCATTTCGGGTCCATTTCGGTGTCCATTTCGGGTCCCTTTTAGGGCCATTTTGGGGTCCCTTTTGGGGTCCCTTTCGGGGTCCCTTTTGCGGTCCTTTTTGGGGTCCTTTTCGGGGTCCTTTTTGGGGTCCGTTTCGGGATCCCTTTCGGGTCCCTTTTGGGGTCCTTTTTGGGGTCCTTTTCGGGGTCCTTTTTGGGGTCCGTTTTTGGGGTCCCTTTTGGGGTCCCTTTTGGATCCTTTTTGGGGTCCGTTTCGGGTCCCTTTTGGGGTCCGTTTCGGGGTCCCTCTTGGCTCCTTTTTGGGGTCCTTTTTGGGGTCCCTTTCGGGTCCCTTTTGGGGTCCGTTTTTGGGTCCCTTTTGGCTCCTTTTTGGGGTCCTTTTTGGGGTCCTTTCGGGTCCCTTTCAGGGTCGTTTTCGGGGTCCTTTTTGGGGTCCGTTTCGGGATCCCTTTCGGGTCCCTTTTGGGGTCCTTTTTGGTGTCCGTTTCGGGGTCCCTTTTGGGTTCCCTTTCGGGTCCCTTTCGGGTCCCTTTTTGGGTCCTTTTGGGGTCCTTTTCGGGTTCCTTTCGGGATCCCTTTTGGGGTCCGTTTTGGGTTCCTTTTTGGGGTCCCTTTCGGGTCCCTTTCAGGGTCCGTTTCGGGGTCCTTTTTGGGGTCCCTTTCGAGTCCCTTTTGGGGTCCGTTTCGGGTCCGTTTCGGGTCCCTTTTGGGGTCCGTTTCGGGTCCCTTTTGGGGTCACTTTTGGGGTCCCTTTCGGTGTCCGTTTCGGTGTCCGTTTCGGGTCCCTTTTGGGGTCCCTTTTTGGGGTCCCTTTTGGGGTTCCTTTCAGGTCCCTTTTGGGGTCCCTTTCGGGTCCCTTTCGGGTCCCTTTTGGGGTCCTTTTTGGGATCCGTTTCGGGTCCTTTTTGGGGTCCTTTTTGGGGTCCCTTTCGGGTCCCTTTTGGGGTCCCTTTCAGGGTCCTTTTCGGGGCCCGTTTTGGGTCCCTTTCAGGGTCCTTTTTGGGATCCGTTTCGGGGTCCGTTTCGGGTCCGTTTCGGGGTCCCTTTTGGGGTCCGTTTCGGGTCCGTTTCGTGGTCTCTTTTGGGGTCCGTTTCGGGGTCCCTTTCAGGGTCCTTTTTGGGTTCCCTTTTGGGTCCCTTTCGGGTTCCTTTCGGGTCCCTTTTGGGGTCATTTCGGGTCCCTTTCGGTGTCCATTTCGGGGTCCCTTTTGGGGTCCTTTTTGGGTTCCCTTTTGGGGTCCCTTTCGGGTTCCTTTCGGGTCCCTTTTGGGGTCCGTTTCGGGTCCCTTTTGGGGTCCCTTTTGGGGTCCCTTTTTCCTTTCGGGTCCCTTTTGGGGTCCGTTTCGGGGTCCGTTTCGGGGTCCCTTTTGGGTTCCTTTTTGGGGTCCTTTTTGGGGTTCCTTTTGGGATCCGTTTCGGTGTCCGTTTCAGGGTCCATTTCGGTGTCCGTTTCGGGTCCGTTTTGGGGCCGTTTCGGGGTCCCTTTCGGGGTCCCTTTCGGGGTCCCTTTCAGGATCCCTTTTGGCTCCTTTTTGGGGTCCCTTTTAGGGTCCTTTCGGGGTCTCTCATGGGGTCCCTTTCGGGGTCCCTTTTCGGGTTCCTTTCGGGGCCCTTTTGGGGTCCCTTTTGGGTTCCCTTTCGGGTTCCCTTTCGGGTCCCTTTTGGGGTCACTTTCGGTGTCCGTTTCGGGTCCGTTTTGGGGTCCCTTTTGGGGTCCCTTTCAGGTCCCTTTTGGGGTCCGTTTCGGGGTCCCTTTCGGTGTCCGTTTCGGGTCCCTTTTGGGGTCCGTTTCGGGTCCCTTTTGGGGTCCCTTTTGGGGTCCTTTTTGGGGTCCGTTTCGGGTCCGTTTCGGGTCCGTTTCGGGTCCTTTTTGGGGTCCGTTTTGGGGTCGTTTGGGGTGACGTGGTGCGGGCGCCCCGCAGCAAGCCACGGTGATCCGGGACGGGGAGAAATCGCAGCTGAACGCCGCCGAGATCGTGGTGGGGGATCTGGTGGAGATCAAGGGGGGGGATCGAGTGCCTGCCGACATCCGCGTCATCGCCGCGCAGGGATGCAAGGTGG